AACATATATTATAGTTAATATTAATAAAATATATTAATGTTGATAATACAATTTGAAAATTTAACGATAAAAAAAAATATATATTTTGAGAATTTTCACTAGGTATTATTTATTAATTATTGTATCGTGCTGTGTTTTTCAAATCCCTATACTTAATATAATTTTTCGCGTTTTGTTGGTAAATATTTTTCAAGTGTTTTCCTTAAAAATAATTTAACAACTTTAAACGGCTTTATAGTAAATTGCATTAATAGACCTAACTGTAAATAATAAGTATAATCATCAAACATAATTTCTGACTAATACGTCGCAAATTAGAAAGCGTTTTGGTTATATTATTTTTATTTTAGTACTTACCTATTCAAAAATATACCAAAAAATAAATAATCTGAGACAAGTCGTTAGACTTAACTAGGTAAATTATTTTTCATACAATAATGTTTATTTTAAAATTAGTATAGTTTTGCATCCAAATGTGTTTTTCAGGTAAATTACGTTTATAACGTGTCTATTATATTGTAATAAGCCCATAATAAATATAATAACTTCGGCTATGAACTTAAAATATTCATTATTTATGAATAGAACAAAACACCTTTATCTTGATTTAAATACCAAAACAATTGAAGTATTCAGAAAAAATGTGCTTGTTGAGGAGGGAATATCATTATATTATATATTATAATTTATAATAGGCATTACTTACTTGTTTTCTTTGTCTTAATAAGTTTTATTTATTTTAATGTTTAATTTCATTTACAGTTTTGCTGTTTTATTTAACTTATTGTTTAAATTAATACTACAATAGACCTACCTATTTTATTTGTACCATATTTAAACGAAGAGCACATTAGTTGTGTCTCGTAAAAAAGTATACAAGAATTGCGTCCTACTACATAGGGTAGGTAGTAAATTTTTTTTTTCGTTTTTAGGGTTTTTACGTGTTATATATATATATAAGGATCTTAGACTTTAGTTTTACAATTTTCTAGGTTTACCAAGCTCATTTAAAGTACTTGATTAAATATAGTGTTATAAATAATAATTCAACATTCAATAAATAATAAATTTGTTATTTATTATTAAAAATCCTTGATAAAAATGTACGAATTGCATCTCAAAAAAAAATCTTTCGTGGCACAATTCGTTTATACTTGTTTTTGGGACGCGACTCATGTGGTTCTGTTAGATGATAAGGTACAATTAAGCCCTTACGGTTATAATATTCGTAGAATTGTATTATTGCTGTTTATTTACAAATATTATCCATTGTTTTGTAAAATAAAACTTTGCAATAAGAATGTACAAAAATAATGATTTTTATAATTTTTTAATTTTTTTTTTCTCTATTGCAATATTATGATAGCAGTCAGTTGATATAATTTAGTTATTAATACAATATATACTATTTAAAATAAACTGTATGTGTCGTATCATAAAATCTATAACTTTTCCTATAGTAGGTATATCCTTTGACGTTCTGGATAATACATTTAATAAATACTATACCTAGTTAGAACCGAAATAAGATGGTAATAATAAATATTGTTAAGGATACTTGTTATAAAAACATGTTTACAATTAAATTAGTTCATTATTATGTTATCCATTTATCTGTTAGCTATCAAACTTGATATAACCTTTGCTATGCGGTAAAATGATATAATTTATAAATTATTAATGCATATAAATTATTTAAAACAGTAATACAATATTAGAATAATAAATATATATCTTATTAAATATTCATGTATATAATATTATTCCCATTGACTAAATATACTAGCATTAACTAATCACGCATTCACGTATTATCTACCTAATAATAACCAAGTAAAATGGGCATACAATATTAAAGTTAATTATGTGCAGGCTATGTCAACGACCGGAATACTACATGGAAAATGTAGAATAAGTATAGAAAGCACAACGGAATGTTTTTAGACATATTTTATGAATAAGACTAGGATAATAATATAGGAATTTGCATATTTTTTTTTTTAAATTTACAGGATATAGTTTTTGAAGCACAAAATGCGATTTTGTCATCTACAATTTCAAATATATAGTTTTTATTTTGCAATTTTTTTTTTACATTTTCTATACCTTTTTAATTTGAGGTCATTTTTTCAATTTTACAGGCATTTTTATACTATATTGTTGAAATCTGGTTAATGTTTTTATACATTTTTAAATAGATTTTTTTAAATTATTGTACAAACATATTAAGATACACCATTAAAATAAAATCGTTAACATATTTTCTAAAAATATTTAATTTTTCCAAAATACCAATCATTTGTATAGTATAAAATATACTCGTTGTACTAACCGAGCAATTAACGATAATAATTTTCGATTACGTATCATCTTCATCAATTTATTACTAAATTAAATTTTAGTTTAAATTAAGTTTAAATTTTAGTTTTACAACATTATTTTATTTCAAAATATATTATTTCAGAACAAATGACGCTGTCCATTAAACCAGTAGATGAATTTATTTGTATACTTAAAAATATAAATTGGTCATTGTTTCTTATTGAGTCATTTAAAAAAAATAATTTTTTAGGTTTTTTAGGTCATTTTTAAAAATTCCTAGCCCTATTTATTTATTATTATTCATATAATATATTTATGTGTAACATTAAAGCCTACTATATTATAGTTATTTTATTACATTAATATTTCTCTGACTTGAATAGCAAAAATGTTCAGTATCTCATAAAATACAATATGTATTATATAGATTAAGTAGGTACTCATATAAATTATCTTAAATGTTTTTATAAAAAAAATTGTATTGAATACCATAAAAATCAAATAAATACTGTGCGTAGAAGGCAGATGTAAAAATAAAAATGTAATTTTATAACAGAAAAAAATTATTTGACAGCATTTAATAAATATAATAATTCAAATTGTTATATTTTTAAATAAACTACAAACATGTATTGAACATTTTTATCTACTTAGTATAAAAATATGACAGTAGTATCAAATATTCTCGAACTTACGTTAGAGACAATCTCTGACAATCTCTTCCTCTTCCCACAAAGATAAAAGGCTTATCGCGCACAAAGATTTGGAAATCACTAGTTTTTTGTTTGATTGATTTGGTTTTAGAATACTGTAAAATAGTATCAACAAGTTCATAGAATACGTAAATAATATCTTAAAAAAAGTTTTAAGCCCATACGAATAATGTTATGTATTACTTTTATCAATATTTACCTAAAGAAAAAAAAAGAAAAATGTTATCATTTAAAATACATATTAATATCTCTAAAAGAGTCAAAATATTTAGAAAATTATTCTATGTGTAGAAAATGTTAACATAAACATTTAATAAAAATCCCAAATATTCATAGTTATTTGTTCCTAAATAAACAAAATATCAAGAATCCTATGTAATAAATAATATGAGTATAAAAGTAAAAATTTGAACTTCTAATGGTTTAAAAATATAACTCAGTTTTTTTTTTTTTAGATAGAAATCTCATGAAGAATCGTTTAATACATTTTCAAATTTTAGATGTAAAAAAATTTTTTTACAAAATAATTTATGATTTTGATGAATTTTATCAAAATTCTATCTTAAACGCTTGTATGAAAATATTGCGACCGTGTACTTTCTGCTTTTTTTTTTTAACTGTTGATTTTCGAATATTTTTATTATGCATAATAATTTTTTTATTAAAAATATCTATAAATATTTTAAAGAATAAAAATTTGGTAAAAATTGGTTATTATTTTTGAAGTACAGAAAAACAAAAAAATTTAATGTGTTAAATATTGGTTTTGCTTTTTCATGGTTATTTTGAAAAGTTATCGGAACTTTTTATTCCTCTGAAGTACCACCTAAACGTTCAATTTTCTACCAGAAATCACCCCTAAAGTAAAGAATTGAAGCAGTTTTGTTGATCTTGAAGGTGGTGGCATGTGAAAAAATTATTATTGTAAATTAATACTAACATAATTATTTAAAAATTTAGAATATAAAAAAAAAATATATAAACACTAGAATATTTTTAAATATTCTGTATGGTAATGTAAAGCCTAACTTCGATAATTCTTTTGATTATGTGCAAGATATAACTAATATTCTACAATAAACTTCGTTGAGCAATATTATACACTGACATATGTAATTGCTTTCTCTAGTAGTATTTTTTTCTTTCATCGATCAGGGGTTTTTGAACTGAGTCTTCCTGGTACCTATAAGCTATAATACCATAACTAATTTGACTTTGGTCCTTCAATATAAAAGAATATAATTTATATTAGTGACTTCATGGTGGTAGACTTTTAGAAATGTTGAGATCCATCAACATAAAAAAAAAGTAGCTTTTCATTAATCAGTATGTATATAATTCTATATAATGTATCAGTGTATATTATATATATATATATTATATATATATATATATATATCATGGATAATTATTTAATTTAAGTTTTAAATACGGTATATTTCATTAATTGTAATTTTAATCAATCAGCATAAACGATTTATTTACATAAGATAACTTAATAAGCATATAATAAGCATACATAAGTTATCACTCGTAATTCATCAGCTCACGATTGTAGATACAAAATATATTTGATAAAAAATTAAATCATTTTTTATCCATAAATACCTTTGCATTTATCTAAATCATTACAAAAACACGTAGTCAGGCTGAAGGGTAACAACTAAGTCGAATAATTTATTTATTAATACTATATTTAATCTTGAACGAACTCGTAGATTATATCATAATATATTTTTCCTATAAATGTTAATTTAAGTATGAATATTAAAGTCATAATAAGTACATTAATACTATGTAGGTATAAATTATTTTATCATTGACATCGCGGAAATATGAGCTTAAATTTAAAATGACAAAAATTTTCCAGTTACGTTCAAATAGTGCGTAACTATACTATAGTACTATATTATTATTGTGTAATAACTAATAATATATATTGATGATTTTTGTGTTGTTTTAAAGATTACCGACGTCGGTGGTTTTCGAACGGCAGTCCGACACGTTTACAACAGACAAGGAGTACGCGGATTTTGGCGTGGTAATGGGCTAAGCGTGCTCAAGTCATCACCCGAGTTTGCCATGAAGTTTAGCGTGTACGACTACACGAAACGACAGCTAAAGGCATCCCGGAACGACGGCCACTTGGACGCCCGCGACAGGTTCTTGGCCGGCGCGATGGCTGGTGTTTTCAGTCAGACATTCTTGTACCCGCTCGATGTACGTAACTCAGTTTATTACGACTTATCTACCCATGTATTTTAAATAATAGTAAAATTGCAATATTTTAAATAGTATTAGCATTATTAAAGTTTAAAGTAAAAACTAATTCTTTTAATATTATAAAATATGTAGATCCATTTGAACGAAAATGGAATACTTTCTCATTATTTATTTTAAAAGGAAAAAATTGTTCCTAGCAAAAAATAACATAAAAATTTGGGAGGAAAAAAGACTTACCTTAAAAATTAATGACAATATTTTGGATAGACTATAGAGTATAGGACATAGGTATTCAAATGTTTAATTTTTAAAGTCTATTGTACATTTGAACTATTTCAATAATTATTGCTGTACTAAAATAGTAAAATTTATAAATTACCGTGAAATAAATAATTTTTTTTTTACAATTTAAATATGTAATTTCGTCATCATGTATTTTTAGGTTTTAATAAGAAATACTCACGAGGAACACCGTGTATCATATTTTAAAGTCTTGTCTTTTAAAATTCAAAATTGTATAAATTTCCAACTACAATATAAATTTTAAATTGTCGAGGTTTTGGTGGATTTCATCAAATTTTAAGTCGGAGATGTAAAGTACATGGTTACTCCTCTCCTTTATAATAATAATAAAAATCAATAAAAACACGACTGCGCTTCAAGCATTTGTGCGATGTGCGCTGCCAGCTGTATAGTGTTGTACAAACGCTACACAATAACCGTATCTATATTATATTATACTTTAATTTTTGAAAAGCAATACTACATATTGTACGAAGTACTCTCCAAAGTCAAGATTTGCATTTAAAATTTAAATCATTAAATAATATCTTCTCAAACTTGTCGCCCATATTTTGACAAACGATTCACGTTGATGTATATCAGGTTAGGCGAACACAGTTGGATATTTTTGGTTACTACTATCTAAACATAATTTTTTTTTAAATGAATGATATTTTATAAATGTATTTATTAATAATATATTATTTTATGGATTAGACATACTATACATTTTAAATAATGTAATTTAAAAAAAATGATCTCTTTTTAAAATTAAAGTGATATGTGAATAGCTATCACTTTAAATCTGAGAACAGATAATGTTCTCATAAAATAATTTTATAGTATGAGCTTAAAATTAAAATTTAATGTAATAATTTAAATCTAGTATAGTTTGATTTTTATATTTTTTATGTTATGGACTTTAGTACAATCTTGTCCACGAGAAAAGTAAACCGTGTCCCATCAAAACTCGTCTGAGTAGAGTAGACGCTCTTCCACATTTGACATAGGTATTGACAGTGTTTGCATTAGATTAAAATATATGTTGGTTTTTTGTATAACTATACTCAAAAAAGCTTTTGGCTCTATTCTATTTTTGCCTATGTTACGCACAATTATATCGGCTTATTAAGTATGGCGCCTATATAATATAGTGGTACATAATTAAATTATGTATGATCTATTCTATGTTTATAATCTATATTTTAAATAAACTACTTTTTTTTTATAATACGCTACTATAGTAACTAGTTACTCACTATGATTTACAGTTTGGTTTTATATTTGTTTCCATTGACCTTGTTCTTTGTATAGATATTTTTCAAAAAAGTCTGAAGGTTATTATATTCATTAATATAATTTAATTACGTCTTAATTATAAAAGTACACTATATATCGTCCGTCATATCAATAATATAAAATATTATTGCATAATAGGTTATATGACCTATGGGTTACGCTATACATATAATATTATACTCTATAAAAAATCAGACGTATAATAGACATTGTCTATATTAATAATATTGTATCATATTATTATATAACTGTAATTAAAAATTAAACGAACTACAAAATCTCTAGATAAACTCACGTCGTTATTGTCATGTCAAAAGTCATTTATTAATGTTTAATGTTACGTGCACGTAGTTGCAAGTGTTACAACGTGTCCTATAACGGGTGCGATAAATATATTTTTTTCATAAATATTTACTTTTTTTTTTTTTTGGATATATATGACTTTTGACTTGTGTGGTAATTATTTTTTGTTTGTCATGCAGCATAGAAACTTCTATACTGCAAGAGTGAATTAGTTATTGATATGCAATCTTGAAGGTATTACCTTCTGTACTATAAAGAAGTGTGCATGAACATATAGTCATTAAATACGATTACAAATTACAATACTATATTAAACCATAGCTACTTTATACTATAATTAGTATATGTAGTCTGTACACCTTCCTTAATAATATAATTTTCATCAATACAGTTGCATGGGTATACATTATACATAATAATTATAATATGATAAAAAATAATAATATACTATCCGATTTTCTTATTTATTTGTTGAATTTTTGGAATAGGTATATACTATACATATAATATATACCTACGTATGTATAACTTACATACAGCCAAATATTGAAGGATATTGATGTAGAGGGCGATTAAAACAATCATTAGATTTTATGAATATGCCACTGCGTATGTGTACTATGAAATTAATATATTTCTATAAAACTCAGTATACAGCCCACTAAAAATATTAAGACTGCAAAGAATAATTAAAAAAAAAAAAATGTTCAATATGCGTTTTACTGTGGAGTAGTAAGAGGAGTTATAATTATTATGGTTAGGTATAACTTGTATAAGACATAAGTCAATTATAGTATTTAAGTAACTTTTAAATCTTAATGTTTTAACAAAAGCTACAAAAACACCTGCGCCCTGCATGGATAATAATAAACGTAACATTTAAAATATAATGTAGTACATATACAATTCTTGCGTATTTTTATTTTATCAAAGTGGATCATTGTATTTTATTCAATTAAAAGAATTTATAAAAAGAAATATTATAATAGAAACTCATTTTCTCGGAAAAAAAATGGATTACATTTTATCTTCTAAAACAATTTCAATGTTTTTTTTTTTTATTGTGTTTATAAATGTTATGGATAAAGCTATTAGTATACGGATTCACAAAATTATTTTTTTATTATAGATGATGGAAAACAAAGAAAACTATACTATATAACATTTTATGAAAAACTTTTATGGTGTTTTCTTTATCATTTCGCTCAGAAAATATAAACTATTTAGTCTGAAAGATATTTTCTTCACTTTAGTTAACATTTTTTGTTAAATTATTCAATTTTGTTATTGATTTTAGACAATAACTTTCATTTTTAATTTTTCCCCAAATTTAAAATCACCCATTATATAGTTCCCCAAACGCTGTTTGTAATTTTAATGTATATTTAATTTTAAATAAATTATGGATCCAGGACTTCAAACAATTAATCGAAAATATTTCATTAAAAATAATTTGTTAATAAAACTTTTTATTGATAATAAAAGTATTTTATATAAATATACCTATATATAATTTCGAATAAGGTTTTTATTTATTTTAATAAAATTATATTAAATCAAATAAAAAAAAAATAATATTTTTACTAATTAACATCAATATTTTTCAAACAAAATACATTTAAAATGAAGTAATATTCATTTTTTTTCAATCATATAGTTTCATGTCAAGCCCTAAAAAAATATAAATGTTTTTAAATTTATATATATATATATATTTATTATACTAAACAAAACGGCAGGTAAATTAAAATATATATGTTACGGGCTAAGTATACAATTTGGACATTTTCTACAATGCCCAGGCATCATATAAAGTGGCCTTCGTATATTGGGGACATAGATAATATAATGTTTAATAGTAAATTATTGTCAAAATATAACAGCCAGATTAAGCACTGATTATTATTTGTAGATTTGGATTAGCTAGTGTGTTTTTCGTTTGTTTTTATCGGTTTTCTAAAATGGAAAAGTCCACATATTAAATGTAACATGTATTATGATTGTAATATTTATCGTATAATACCATAATCGATAAGAACTTTTACTTTTACGGGTTAATCTATAGCACCTTTAGCATCCCCTAGTTCAAACTTTGAACCCCTTATTTTTTTATACCTAACTGTTGTTTTAGTAAAACACCATGACTTTGTGAGGCATTAACTGTTTTAGCTCGTTTTAAAGGTCTAGTTGCACATATAGGGTTAATTCTCGTAAAATTAACTTTTGAGTAATCACGAATCATTTGTGTAGTGTAGTTCAATTGTGTACTAACTTATAATAAAAATATAACAAAGTTTAATGCAGATTTAAATAATTAATTTTTTATAAAGTAAAAAAAATGCCACGAAAACAGTATATTATGCGAAAATAAGTGATACAAATATAAAAATAAATTATTATATTTTCTAATAATATAAATATTATATTATCTATATTGCCCAATACACGAAGGTCATTTTATATAATGCCCGGCCATTGTAGAAAATGCCCAAATTGTATACTTTGCCCGTAACATAATATACATCACTTACATCACGATCACAATAATGCCTTACTATATCTGTATTATACTAGTTGGTAGATCAATAAACAATTTTAGTTTATTATACATTAAACGTAGAATTTCAAAACAAATCATCACTAAGTATTAATTTACCAAACTTATTTTAATAAATTATGGATTTAACCATTAGATTAGATTATATTCCTTTTTTTTTATATATACAGTCGCTTTTTAGTTTTGATGAACTGTTGGGATATTACAAATGAAATAAATCATATAATTAAAACAATATTCTTGGAAAGTTAAATTTAAATATTACTAACAAAAAAAATGTTTAAACGTCATATTAATAAAGCTGGAAAAAATAATTTAATGATTTTATTTTAATTTATTTTGGGTGTAAAAAATACTGTGTTGTGTTATTTTATATTATAATAATACCTTTATTAAAAACAACAATTTATATTCCTGCTTTGATGTAGCGAATACTAATTTTTTTAATATTCTGAGGAGATAATTTTCAAGTATAAGATACAAAACTAATTAAATTAATAATAATTAAAATAATAATTTTTTTTATAGATTGTAAAAACACGCTTGATCGTTGGCAAATACACAAATATCACAGACGTGGTGGTCAAGACTTACAAAAACGGAGGCGCGTGGGCATTCTTCAAAGGTTTCTGGCCCAGTACGCTAAATATTTTCTTGTTCACTGGCATTGAGCTTATGACTTACGAGCATATCAAGGAAAATTATTCTCATTACTACGAGAAGGACAACTACCTGAGGTTGATTGTTAACTTTTACTCGGCATTTATCTCCAGCACTGTAGGTGTCGTGATTTGTTATCCGATATCAACGGTCATTACTAGACTTCAAGTCGATGACGGTCAGTACGATAATAATAATTCTATAATCTGGAGATTACAATAAACTAATGAATACATCTAATAAATACCATCATAGCATATTTTCCCTGATCTAGGTAACAATTAATTTCTTAGCTGGATTTGCAGTATTGAAATATAACATTAAAAATTATAAGTTCACTAAAATTATTTCAATTTTAGTTTCCACATACACAGTACAATATAATATTTAAACAACTAACATACCACTTTTTTTATGTCGTACTTGGGTTGGCTTTTTTTTAAAGTAATTCGACTCATATATATGTGAATATACGGTGCCACTCTATACCACATAATCGAATGCATAATAAAACTATATCCTAAATATTCTAGATACCCTATATGCGTAATTTTACTATTTCCCTCAAAACGAACGTAATTTAAAACGTCATCTTCAGAGTACAATACACTAATCACATCGCATTAAATAAACATTAATATATACGACGCCCTAAATTTTATATTTTTACTGTGCATAACCATGCAATGATGAATATGACAATAGTGGAGGTCAAATCATTTCTAATGGTCTACTATTTTTAATTAAAATTTTTATAACTGAAAAATGTCAAGAAACCTTAGTAGGTATATATTGTTGTTAGTTAATAGTAATGTGAATATTCTGTATAATTAATTTAAAATAATGATAACAATCAGAATAATCAAATTTTATTCTTTAAGTAATGTTTAGGTATAAATATTATTTTTATTTTTGAGAAACAAAATTGTACGATGGTTATCAAAGTAGTTGATCACATGTTTTCACTCACTTACATTTAAACTTTACATTTCTTCGATTTTTCCGCGCATGGCAGTTATATATTATTAGCATACTGCATATACATCTATCTAAGTTAACATTATCAAGTATTTCTAGATTATTTAACAATTTTTCAAACATTTTATTTAAATTGGTCTACCTTTTATATAACGGTATGTTAAATAACAACTATTATTCTGAATAGTATTCAGGTATTTGGTTTTCTTATTAATATCCTGAAAATATTATTATATCTAAAGTCGTGCCTTTATCCCTGATATTTTATCAAGTCTAATCAAACAATTAAGTAATTTAGTTTCAGTATGAACCGTATAGGTAAAATAGATATCGATAAAAAAAACTCTATTTTAGATTTATAAGCAGTCATTTTATTAATTCTGAATAAGACGCGAAATAGACTTTATACTCGTGAATTAAATATGATTATTTCAACTATAAATAGTTTTGAACAACTTATCTTTTAAAAATAAATAATGAATGTATAAAAACAGTATGCGACATTGAATGAAATATGGCTAATATATGGCTTAGAACAACACACAAATTGTAAAATTGATAAAAAAAATTAACATAATAGTCTATGGTTAAAAAACAAATCATCTATAAAAAATATAATATGTAAAACTAAATTTTATACATACGATTATTGAATACGTTGAGTATGAAATATTTTCAAAATCGTGTATACATATAAGTTGTTTGATTTAATTAATAATTATTATATAAATATATATACATATTGTATTTACAAGCGACTACATAAGTATAATGGATCTTTTTCTATTAACTATAGATAATTAAAACCACTCACCTAAAAATAAAAATAAAAACTAAAAATTGCAATTCTTCTCCATATGCACTCTGCAGCAATTTGTAGGTCGACTGAGAATGTTGTGAACACTCGTAGTCCATACGAGAAAGTATAGTTGAACATTTGCTACGTTGTCGACTTAAATAATTATAATGCACAGTGATTCACAAAAGACTGAAATATTACCCCATAGCACGCGTATTAACCCTTCTCCTCTATATTGGCACATACGTATTATTACAGTGTTTCGAGTTGAAGGACGAACGTAAATACATATCATATTATCATGTATGCCATATGTGTCAGAACTCATAACTAAGTGATGTGGACTTGGGCTATATCTATTATTATAAATAGGCAATTTTGGAATTTTCCAGTGAAATAAATTGGCAAAGAAAAATTTAAATCACACGTTTTTTTTATCTAATTTGTTTCATATTTTTTTTTTTTTTTAATTTGTAGGTATTGATATACAATAATAAATTATTTTTCTCTACCTATACTCTAACGAGTTAAATATAAATGCACAATATATAAGTAGGTACAAGTTTTTTTGTGCAGCACCTAACTAATAGGTGGCCACGATGTCGACATAGTAATATATGATTAAAAAAGTCGTTATAAAATATTATTTTTATTATTATACATGTTTTGTAATAAGTTTCACATAATCAAACTATGTAGTAGATACATCACATCTACATATGCATATACAATTTTGACTGTTCAGATGTGTTAGATATTATCTCAAAACTAATTTTCTTCGATGACCTTTTTTTTCCATTCCGCTATTAAATGCACCTGCATTAACGAACATCGTGTCCGTAGCTCTATATTATAGTGATAAATTTCGTATACATTAATTTTGATAAACCTGTAGACGTATTCAATGTGTTATGTTAATGGTTTTTTTTAAGTTATCGTATAGTTTTGTATATATTAACAAATGTGTCGCAATATTTTATTCCAGATATTTCCTATCTAATAGGCCGGGTACGACCTACGGCGAATATTTCTTTCTCTGCTTACGTAATACTAAAAAAATGAAAAAAATAATATATTTCCAATTATATTATGTCTGCATTCTACCTCACCCCCAATACCCGACCACGAAAACCGACTCATCGGATTAACGTGATGTCAAATCATCTCAAAAGTGATTTTTTACGATGACGTTGTTGTCTTATTATTTTAAGGAACCGGGAGTGTTTTATATCTATTATTAAATTTTTTTTTTATAAGAATAATTATCATGTTGGGTTCAAAAATTAAACTTATGCGCATATATTATTTAGTGAAGATAAGAATCTTCGAGGCTTGAGAGTACACTTTTACCTGCTATCATAAATATTATTCCGAGTTCACTGACCGACTGAACTAAATGGTCAATAATGTGGTATAATATGTATTAAATTGCATAACATCATACTTTTTGGTCATACTTCAAATCTCAGTTAATTCGACTTGACTTGTAAAAAATATATGTTTTATTTAACATGTGAAATTCATCAAATATAATACGTATACCCATAATAATGTAACTATATTATATTATACTTTTATTGTTTATTTATTTATATATTTTTTTACTGCGTCGTTACTTTTTATTGTGGGCCAACCAAAAACCATTTTTTCGGCTTCCTCTCTCCTCAGTTCTTTTCTTTTTAATATCGTTTTCAGTCGGCTAACAGTTTTTTTTTTTAATTCCACGAGAGTTTAAAGTCATATACTTTTATATTTTATTAAATTACATTATAAACACAATCTAATCTGCGACTTAAATTGGAGTTCTGTGAACGCCTGAGCAGCAGACGACCCACGTTTCAAAGATGCGTCACTATATTATACTAAATTGTTTTCAATCAATAGATAATATGTTATGGGGTATGAATTATGTAAATAGAAATCTTATTAGGATGACGGGCATGAACGTTTATTATTCTATTGTCTTAGTAAAATTTCACGCTTGAAACGAACAGGTAAAATGTTGGTCTGTGAAGAATATTTTGGTTTTAATTCAGGTACAATAAATATAAATAATTGCTGCTCCCCTTAATTTGCATTACCTGTAAGAAGTATCTATATAATAAGGCCAAAACCAAATTCTCATATACATTGTTCATAGCGTAACACATTTTCTATTCATTTTTTATTTAGTTGTTCATATTATATTAGTAAATAATAATACTCTATAATAAAAATAACAGACACCTATATCTAATTTTACAAAAAAGTTTACCCAAAAATCTATCGAGATAACTCACCTCGTGTTACAATTTTTACCCGATAATTACTTTTGATACTTTGTACACATGCTTATTGGACTTATCTAATAAGCAATGGAAACCGAATATTATTATTATATTTGGCATTAGACTTCATGTTTTTTAATATCGTTGGGTATTTTTTTTTTTTTAATGATTTATGTTTTGACTCTACAATCAGAATTTTTTGATTATTCGTTTATTTGTATAACATTTATTATCTTAGCTTGTGTATACATGTAGCCATGTGGGTGTATAATCACATATTATATTGATTATAAAAACTGTTATTATTTCATAAAGATTATTCAATATTTCAAATCACAGTAAAATTTGTTTGTGCATCGAATTCATTTTTATCACATCCTTTCATAATATATAATACTTTTTCCTCTTTATTAAATATTACGAAAGATAGATCAGTATAATTTATGTCCAACTAAAATATTATACTTGCTGTAACAACGAATTACAATACAAATCAATGTATATAAAACTATTCGTAGGCATGTATGAAAATTCTAATAAGTTATTGAAATCCGGATCATTAAAACATTTATGACTATATGAAGTTATTATTGTAGGTATTATATTACTGTAAATAATTTACTAACCAAATACTCTTGGATATAAAAATAATATACTGAGCAAATATATAGTTACGTCCAAAGCTTCTACGTAATATTGACGAATATTAATAAGTATAGGTATATTTACATGGGGAAATGACCAATGGATATGGAATTATGTACTTACGTTGTATTGCCATAATAAACGCAGTATTTATCACACAAAGCCAGAAAAATTTAAGGCCTAAAATATTTGAGCTCTTATTATTATTTTATTGCAAAATAAAAATAGGATCATTATTAAGCAAATCAAAAACAGTATATCATTAAGTAGGACACTTGAATATTGGTCAATAACATACTCGTAATAATTTATTAAACTTCTTAGATTTATTAATTACAACTAACCTTGTGATCGAATTAAATTTCCTATAAATATAAAATATGACATGATGTAACTAGAAATAATTATATAATTGAATGTATGATATAAATTTTAAAATACTCTTCATTACATAGGCGCTAAATAATTCGAGTTTTGACTCTTCTTGTGTTTGTTTATTTATACATTTAAAATTGTCAACATTTTTTTAAGTTTATTTTCGAATCATAATGTATAATTATATTTTATCAAAAACCAAGTTTCTCTTTTACATTTTCCTCACTTCTCTAAAAAATTTTAATATTTTTTATTTTTTATGCTGAAGGCTTAAAGCAATGTAATACAATTGCTGTTAAAGTTTAAAGCAGACAACACGTCGAAGTTAGTCCTACTGAACATAAATGTTGTGGTGTTGCGAATGGGCCACTAAGGGAAAACAAATAATGCGCCAACTTCCTCTTAACTATAGCAATATATTTTATAGATCATTACCAGGAAATTTAATAATAATACGCTTATAAAAACTGATTTTTATAATTAGGTATATTCTGAATAATATAGCTATATATTTAATAGTTATTAAATAATAAGCAGTTGATAATATTATAGATTATTATATATTATTATTTATCATCATTTATTATAAAATGATGTAATTTATCAGATGAGAAAGATAATTGGTACTAATTATATCTTTGTATAATTTATACTAATGCACTTACGTATTCGATATTCTACAATTGTAAATTTAATGATCATTCTTTATTAATAAATAATAACCAATTAGGAATGTCCACGAATCGAATTTAATGGTTCACATTTACTACATAGTACACACGCGCCAACGTTGATTTAAAATTCATATCATACGAATCAAACTACAAAATTGTAGTTTTAATCATTTAACAAAATAGTACAATAATTGAATAATGTTTTTTGTATAGTATATTGTACGTATATTATTTATTTATTTTTTTTTTGAGAATTTTACCCATGTCCTCTCATTAAAATGACTTGTCCCAGCGACAAGCCTGTTTTATAGCTCTTATATATTATCATTGTTACTATACGTAGGTAGTAAAATATTAATATTATATGATCATAATTATCAACATCCGTTTTCAATAGGTACATGAAAAAAAACTTTCCATTGTGTCAGAATCTAAATTTTAAATTACTCATATTTCCGTTGGAAATTTTGATATGTATATAATAGAAATTATGTGCATGTATTGCGCGTTTAGATTTATATACATAAGTCATGACGTATTAAGCATTAGTTGAATTAGTTCATATTGTATCTATATGCATTTTAATATATATAGAATGTCTTATAAATATTTTCAAAGTATGATTTTTGAAAATTATTGCTCTATTGATGCAAGACCTATAATTGAACATTTTATTATGATACATTTTTTATTAGTATTTATATCGGTTTACATTAACTTAAAACAAAATGGTTTATTTTAATTTTACTAAACAATTTTTGAAATAACTAATTCGTATTAGAAAACATATATGTAAATATTTTAGTTCTTATTAAGTATTCACGTATAGTGTACTTATACATATTACTAATATTAAGTAACAGGCCTGTATAGGAGAGTTCTTATGTAATGAAAATAGGCGGGATTACAAGGTTAAACATAAGAATCAGAACGGAATTCTGTACACTAAGCAATATACATTGCTTTGACGACTGAATTGTTCTCAAAGAAGGGAGTAAACGTGTTGTTATGAAGGACACTATAGCATATAATACTGAATGTGTTTACAACAGCCCGTACGTTTGTTTATATACAGGGTGCTATATTTTTAATCGTAAAAATATATGCAACGATTTAATTTTAATTTTCTATTGTTCAATAAGCAATACACGTTAAACGAATAGCCGAGGTAGTTACTCATTATTTTTTTTTTTTTTGAAAAATTGGGTTTAATTCATGCGTTACCCGTGGTTTTAAACATTGCCTTCTGGAGTAGAACAGTATAAGTCTATAAAAAATTGACAGGTGTCGATTGTCAAATCGATATAGACGTATAGTGCAATACATAATAATCACTATAAAAATATGAAGTTTGAATCGCATTAATAGGCGATCATGCCAGTGGTTAGCGACTTATTTTAATTACGCTCGTAAAAAATAAACTATAATATAATATATGAATGTTCAACGTTTAACAATATTTTTCAAACTATGCTGCACGTAGTAATGTTTATATGAATTGCTTGAATTGATTTGCTGAAGGAGGGAGAGTAAATTTAAAAAAAAACTAAATATGCTCTTTTTAGTTATATTAAAATATAGTTAAATATTAAGGTACCCAAGTTTTTTTTTGCACTTTTGTATTCCTTTCCTAATTTTTATCTGATCCAAGCACTGTTTATATAGGTACCTACTGTATTTTCTTATTGAGCGTAAAAAAAAAAATAATCCACATGTTAAAACACAACAATATTTGTCAATGGCCGATAAACTGTAATACTATATTACATAACAAACGCTGTGTTGGTATACACACGCGTACAGGTAGTTAATGCAATAATGTAATATATTATATTATTTATTACTACGTATTAATATTATATTTAAGTACGTTGCACGCAGGTGAATATTATAAACACTACGGTATAGTATGAAATTGTCAAGTTTTTTGTGAGTTTGAGATCAAACCTAGTTCCAACGCCCGTATACAGTTTTATAAAAATATATTTTACATAATTTTATTATTGTAATATACGTGTCAGGTAGCTGTGTCAAGAGAAATCGAATCGGAGAAAACTAGTTGTTGGACCTTCGTCGTCATTTTACTGTGAAACATTCTCCACTCCCACTCATAGCTTCGTCACCGTATACTCAACGCGTAAAACGCGTTTTAGATGGCTATGGGAAAAGGAAATGACGATGCGTATTCGTCATGATTAAATATTATTATGCGCGCCTTGGCCACTACAATAACAAATCGAATAAATAAGTAGATCTAGGAGGTGTGAGGTACATTGTATACTTACTACTTTTCAAAACGAAATAACGCGTTCTGGAAAAACATTACGTCTCACGTATAAAAAGAAGCGATTTGATTTTCATTTACCAGTTTGAACAAGATATATTATAATCTAATATAATAGAATAACTGAATTCATATTTTATTTTAACATAAAGTTTCCTTTTAATTTTAATTACCATTTAATACCGATGAAAATATACAGTTATATTATGTTTAACTATATGTTTAATAAGAGAAACAAGTTATGTGTGTAACTACATTATTTATTTTTTAATTTTACTAAGAAAAAAATTGATTATGTTAGATTTTTTTTTTTTTTTTGAAATATACAATCTATGCCCTTGTCATTATAAGAATATGTGCTATAAGTAGATTTAACATGTATAGGGAGAGGGAAGAAACCATCGAGTGATCGCACTTCCTTTTGTTTATTTATATATAGTCGTTTATGTCAGATTAATAATAATTTTGTCACAGACTTTGTTTACCACGGAATGATTTTAACAATGAGTGTAGTAAATAATAAAAATTATGTCATAAACAATAAGTTGCTCATGTGCAATAAACGTTTAGACCCGAATAAAAAGGAAGAAGGATGTTCCAAGGACCCACTAAATGACTCATAATCGTTGTCAACATAAAGTGGTATTAAGACGTCGATTGTATTTTATAGTGTAAAATATTACAATTAAGACAAGTTAATTGAAAAGAAAGAAAATTGTAGGTTATACTAAAGGAAAAATAAGAATAAACATGTTTGGTGAATCACTGTATATTTTTTATTATTCATATAATCTTGACCAAAATTAGTCAAAATATATTTAATCAAATACCTTATTATATACAATAAGTAATACACATAAATACGTAAATACACAAATTTAAATATATCAAAAAAATAATAAATATTTAGGTCATTTATAATAAAGGTATATTAATATAAATGTATTAAAAAATTACCTAGAACAAAAAAAATATATACTAAAAAGCAAAACTTGGAACAATATAGCAGTTTTAAAGTTTCTGAAAATCACAGAATCTTTCAAAATTGTTGTAGAATATTAAAAAAAGATATTTTAAACGTTAATATATTTATATTAATTAAATTGTTTATTTAATACCTAAACAGGCTAAACATAAGTGTATTTAATGCTGTTAATATTTATTTTTATTTAGTTTTTGGTGTTTAAATTATCTGTTATAGTTAATAATAATATAGGTAAGGTAACATAAAAATTAGTATACATATATTTAAAGTGTTAGTTCTATATTATCTATTATACCTAAGTTATATTTTAGAGAATTGTTTAAAAAGGTATAATTTTAAACTTCAATGTAATAAAAATAATATCATCGATTTATTTTACGTACACCTTAAATGCAAAATGAACGGTAATAATATTACTGATATTACAATGAGTAATTATAAAACTATGCGTGCAATATCATTACGTTCAAATAGGGATAAGTTCAAAAATGTATTGTTTTCCATCTATAGAGGGACCCACAACCATCACTATTCACCGCTATAAGATTTAATTTGCATTTGAGTTATTGTAATAGCCATCACACGTTGACACGACGTGTCCACGAAACATAGTTTCCCTGCAAATTAATAAAACCAATAAATAAATCATAATGTAAATTTTATTATTGTTATCGTTGAAATGTGTATGTGTGTTTGTTTGTATATGTGCGCAGGACGCTCTAGTGGAACGATGATAGTGTCGGAAAAATGTAGCCGGCGGCGGCCGTTTTCGGCCAATGTCTTCTGCAGCGGTCAGCTCCTTTACAGAGGTATCACCGGCAGTATCGTGAAAATTTTGCCCACCTCGTCCATTGGCTACGTGATCTACGAAGAGTTGTGCAAGTCGTTCGGCGTGCGGATGTCGTGAAGCATTAACATATTGCATTTCCATGTATGTACCTATATAATATATATAAAATATATCGTCACGCCATATAATAAAATATTAATAATAATAGTAATAATACATTTCAGACGGGATATAAGTGATGGTACCACACACGCTGAACGCACTGTCACGCTTCTGCAAACATTAAAATTAACGCGTTCGTCATCTATACATTACTTAGAATCGACGCATTGGTAAGAGGTGCCTAAATATATTTTATAATTTATTAACCACATGATCATTTTATAATATAAAATTCGTTCAGCTGCATAATATTTCGATTTCCGCATGTAGAACAACAACAGCAAAAAATAACATAAATACGCGCATTCATACTTAAGGTTCTGAGTGGAATAATTGGCGGAGTGTGGGGTGTGCGTGTTTGTATATGTTTTTTTTTATGTTTATCATTACATTCTCAAGCAGTAAAAATTTTTCTTATCTTAAACTTCGAGGAGATACTAGTAGCAAATTGGATTTGGTTTGTATACATATATAGCCCAAGAAATCAAAAGCAATTCCCAATAATACTTTAAAAAATCTTTAGGAAAAAAAATATATACATTAAAGCTTATACTCATATTTGTACGAAGTTTGGTAAAATCACGAAAATTCTATAAGTCGTCATTATGAAGTTTTTACCTAAATGCTAAAACTCGAAAATGTAATAGAATATTCGTTACACGTTTTAATTTTTACTTTAATTGAAAAGAAGTTTATCTTAAAGATTTAATACTTTTATACTTTTTTTATGAGGGTTTGGATTTTAAGCCACTCTCATAACACTTCTAATTGGTTACATACCGATGTATAATATTGAGATATTTAATGAGTAACGTAGATTAATAATATATAATATATACACTTTCATACACATATGTAGTTATATACGTCAATACGTGTATGCATAAATTGAAATTGAATATTGATTTGTTGCAGTTTTTCGCATCAAGAGCAATTTTGACTACGATGTTCATACATAATATATATATATACTATATTACGTATATTAAATATATCAATATTTTATACTTTGAACATCGCACGAACTGCATCTGCAGATATTCACAGATACACAAATTTTGTTTTTTATAAACTAAAATGTATGAGTATCCCGTATTTTATCCAACTTTGTCAAAAGCTGTTAATATGTACTTAATGTTTAATATATTATTGCCAATTATTAAGATCATATGTAAGCATATGTAAAATATATTTAAAAAAGAAAATATAATATTAATTTATATATAATTATGCCTGCATGGTGAGTGATCATATTATTTTAATTTTTTATACTTAGTTCTCAAAATGTGTTTAACAATAGGTACGTAATAGTAACGACGCGTTTGAACAACTGGACGTATTATTTGATAACGAACCATTTCGTGATATTTTGAAACGATTTCAAGAAACTACGTATTCTCTCATTTGTTTTAGATTCCGAGTGGAGCAATAAATGTATATTGGTTTTAAAACGATATGCTCTTTTTTGTGTAGTATGTATTTATACTTTATAGTATCTACACGTTGTAAAGTTAAAAACAAATGTTACGATCTTCAACTTGTGATTTTTGGCAAAAAATTGAACCTAAAAACTTTTAAGGGGAAAAATAGATTTATTTATACATTTATGTCAGCATTTTTTAAATAAAGTTTCAAGTATAAATTTCTATATAATATGCCTCTTTTTGTAATATAGACCAGGGGTCGGCAATCAGCGACCCATAATAAAAATTTAAAATTAGTATAAAAATAATGTACACCATAAAATTTCACAAATGGAAATTATTGAGTTGCCGAGTGACAAAAGTCTTAATACTATTTTTCGTGATGGCCACAATTTAATTCAGTTTTATTCAAGTCCTGTGAAACCAAATTTAACAAAGTGAAATATCGTATATTTGTAAACAAACGTTTTCGCTAATGAAATATCGAAAAAACAAATATGCTTTTCGACTATCCGACAGTCACTTAAACGCTATATTGAGAATTTCTACATTGAAAATCAAACTTACGATCGATAAAGTGGTCAATGCTATTTAAACTCAAAAATCACATTAATTTTTACTTTGTATTTTTTTTTTATAATTAGTATGTATTATCATTATAAAAAAATATTAATATACATATACAACATTAAATTAATAAACCAAACAGCGATGAATTTAATTTAAATTTAATATACTTAACTAAAAACTTTTATTTGGTTAGAATTTTAAGGTGTACCTATTCAATTTGTAAATTTGTGGATTATATATTATTTTATCTGTTCCTTAAGCATTTTTAGTGATTTAAAAGTGATTTATTTAATTATTTTTAAAATTTTTAAGTTAATTACACATATTTTGAGCAAATGTTAATTCTTATAAATGAATGTAATTTCCTACATACACAGTGTAAACTCCTATAAAAGATGATAAAAAAAGATACCGCTCGTACCGCTGTAAAAAATATTAGTCTTACTATATATTAATACATAATATTATACAAAATTAAAAACTTAAAACAAAAACTATTTGAAAAAAAAATAAAAAATGTAATAAAACAATAGTCATAAATCATAATCATTTGCGTTTATTTTGTACCATACTTTGGAGATAAACTCTAAACGTGAAATTACTCTAGTTTATACTTATTTTTTTGTATAAGTGTAAATTCATATTTTGGAATTGTTTTTATCTGTCTGCGTTGTGTTATATAACATTTTGTACCTACTGCAAGTGCCGATATGAACGTATAATATAGTTTATAATATGGATAAAACATAACCTTCGATAATCATCATACAGCGTATAAACACGCTTAATTCAAGTGTTTGTATTGTATAAATTTATTATTTTAAAGTTATAATCATTTTTTGGCTTTTTGAGCTTTTCAACTCCAAAATTGTGAATTCGAATAATATTATCATATTTTTTCTAGGTAAAAATGTAAAAAGTTATTGGTGTAAGAGCTTACATTTAATGATGATTCAGGTAAAAAGGTTATTGGTGTAGAAGTTTACATTTAACCATTTTTTTTTTTTTTTTAATAGGTACCACCTTAAATTAATTGATGATAATGTGCTCGATTACATAATACATTGATGTTAAACTACTCTATAATATAATATTATATGAATACGTTTTAGTACTAAAATACCCTCATTAAATCTTTTCATTAATTTCCAAATAAATTGACCATTGATATCAAAATAATAATTGGATTCCACTGAAGTGTTATGATACGAAATGCGTTTCACTATTATAGGAAGCAAATAATACTCAACCCGTCGACCTCGATTACTCAGACGTCGTTCAAAGGAGAATGTGAGTACAGAACAATTGAAAACAATCATAAACAAAAACAAATACATCGATTCATTATCAGACAGTCTTTGGGGCTATAACCATCAAGTATATACTAAATAATTATATATGTACTTACCTTCTCTACATAGGTGCATAATATTATACCGTTAAAAACGCACTACACCGTGACGTGTAATACCAACTTAAACAATATATTATAACAAATACATATTTATTTCGTTTTATGAAATTGAAAAAGAAACTAATATACGTAATTACATAATATACGTTTTGGTAACTATTTACATAAGTAAATATTTAGTAGGTCATTTAATAATATTATGGTAAACTTAATGAATTTTTGATTTATTTATATATGTCGATCACCGATTTACATATTGAAATCCTCCGAATAATATTCTGTTTCAAAACATGAAATTAAAAAAAGTGACAAGTAGTTACCGCTGTACTATACAGTATCGGCTGTTTCGAGTGGGTCACTGTAACAGATAAGTTAAATTTGAATTCAATGATAAAATATTATTCTATACGAAAAACGATTAGTATTTAGACTTTACTCCGCACCTTCCTCCCCGTGGGTTTTTTTAGTGATATTAGACACTTTCTTTACGTATCAATCATTTCATTAATCATTAATTTCTATCTTAGGTATTTCCCGTTAATTTCGTAATTATTTTCTTATTTCAGTTACAATATTTAGTATTTACTATTATAATCCATAGATTACAAAAGTATTCAAGTCAAGATATTTTGAATTATTTATTGTCCATAAAATCTCTCGTGAAAAAAAAAATAATAAAAATATATTAATAGAGTTAAAATTTATGATTTTTTTAATTATTATTATTAAATACTATATTTATATTATTAAATTTAATATTTTTATAAAGTTCGGGAAAAATAATTTATTTAATAAAAATCACATTTATTTATTTGCTATATTGTTGAACATTTGTAGGTACTTTAAATTTTTCCTAGACAGGAATCGTACTGTTGTTGTTTGGTGGGGGGGGGGGGGGGACTTGATGAGTCGTGTTAAGGAAAAAATAGAAAATGAACACAATTGTGCCAATGTATTTTTATACAGATATAAAAAAAACTAAAAAATCCAAAAATTCAACTGTCTCTAAATAATTTAAAGTAGGTTAAAATATTCTGAAAATTATACCACTCATGCTGAAATAAATTTTGTCAAAAACTGATATTATCGTTAAAATTCTCGTTTTTCCTGGTTTTTAAAATAAAACTGTGAATTCATTACTTTTGACTCCTATAAAATACTAACTCTATTCAATAAATTCATCCAGAAATTACCTACCTATCAAGTTGAATATAAAAATATATTTTATTTTTTTTTACTGTCCCAATCAAAAAAAAAGAAACAAATTTTGAAATTAGTACCTACAATGATTGTTCCGTTCGAAATGTATAATATATATTGTCATTCATAGGTGTAAACATTTAAAAAATTATAACAATAAAAATTTCACAAAAATTTTGTCTTGTAACGACTTCAAACTATAAAAAAGAAACATTTTGAATAACACTAATGTTTTCTAAAATAATGACTGTCTTATATATTAAAAAGATCACCTGATATAAATACTATTGATCTATATTTTATGTCTACGATGCTCGTGCATATAATATTTGTTAACTTTCGCTAGA